AAAAAATTGATATAAAAAATTATTCCATCAATAATTTTGGCAATTTTTACTAGATTCTTCAAAGCCGTGGAGAGCTAGTGAACGAATCGTGCCTTTCAAGGGATTTTGGCAATTTTTACTTTTATTTTTTTGCCGAGGCAATTTTTATCTATTTATGAAAAAATAAACCGTTTTGTATATAGAATTGACATCGATTTTTAAAAGATCGTAAATCTGTGTTTGATTTGTGTGACCTCAGGATTGGTGTTTGATCGTAAAACATTAGTTGCATGGTTTCTGGGTTTAGTTTCGGGCTTAGTGTAACACCCGTGTTCCGTGGTTTGGCCACCGCGGACTAGTGATCGAGTCGCGATGGACAGTTTTGGCTGAGAGAGTGGAAATTGTGAAGTAAACTGAGCTGGACAGTTAAATCTGAGCTGGACGGATTTTTCGGACCGTGGTCGGTTTCCGACAGGACGGTTACCGCGGTCTATTTCGGACAAGACAGTTGCGGTAGACTGCGGATCGAGCTGGAAACATTCTAAGGCCATTTGGCGGGAACGGTTATCGAGCCAAAGACACGCTGTTTTAATGAAAACACGCGGGAACGGTTATTTCTGGGCCTTAGACGCGGTTTTGCGTGGAAACGGTTATCTGACGGTTTTGGGGCAGTTTATCAAGGCAAAACTACCCCATTGCCTCAGTTTTTACGGGGAGAAAGAAAGAAAAAGACTTAGAAAGATTTTCAGAGAGTTTTACAGAGAAAAGAGAGAAAAAGCTCGAGAGAATGCGTGAAAGGCTCAAGCGAAGGTGACTGCGATCGTGTTKGTGTGACGGCGAACGTGTCTGGGCGTATCGGCGATCGTGTCTACGTGACGGATCATCGAGACAAGAAGTGTCAGAACTAAGACGGGACAAGCAATCATCGAACCTAAGTGACTAAGGTGAGTGCGTGACCGTGGGCCTAAGTCTAGGTATTTTTTGTGCATAGATTCATCGAGTCTTGTTCGTTGGAGTAATTCCCGACTGTCTGTTTATCTGTTCTGGCTTGATCGTGATGGTTGATTCCTTTCACCGAGAGTTTAGATCAGGCAACACGCTTAGGGGCAGCGATGCTCGCTAAGGCTTGTTTGGTTGGGGGAAAACTGCTCGGGTGACTTGGAATAATCGGGCTGACAAGTGACTGATACCGGTGGGCATGATTGACTGATGATATTGACTGTGTGATTGCGATATCTATTCTGTGGCTAAGTGGGACGGGACGACCGTTCTCACTAAGCAATTTTGTTGCTTATGCCTCCTGGATGCAGGTAAAGAGATTGCCCGTGATGGGAATCCGAAAGTGTGATCCGCGGTGACTAAGGCTGGAAAGGGAAGGATGGTGGATTGAATCGGGTAGCTGGGTCTTTACAATGTAATAGCTTATGTAGCAAACTGATCATTGTATCGGAACCTTGCGATTTAATCTAAGTTTGAACGTTTATGCTATTAAGTCTTGTCTAGATTGAAAATATGTTGAAAATGACTAAATAAAGGAAAAGAATGGAAAAATTAAAGAGGTTAAACTGAAATGGCCAAGTTTGATCAGAACAAACCGATCCGGAACCTCACTGCGGTAAGGGAATCTGGGTCGGGGCGTTTCACTTAGCCTTAACCCCATTTGTCTCATTCAATTCGGAAACTTGTTAATAGGCCATTTAGCAGGGAAGTAAAAGACGAAAAGTAAGATTGGTTTTTGTAGAAGATTCTCATCCCAATGGTGAACAAAGTGTAACTTTCCATGCTTCATTAAAAGAAATGAAAAACTGGTTTTAGAAACATCCAACTCCTGATTCAATCGGAGAGTTATCTATCACTCTCTTCCTCACAACACTATAATCCTTGTTTTCATTACAAAACGAATCCCTGACTCCATCTCATTGCTATGTACATACTATGTTCCTCTGTACTATCTATCCTTCTATGTGCATACTATGTTCCTCCTCGATTCCTGTACTATCCTTCTTACGTTCCTCAAGTGCTGCTGCGATCCTGCACAATTAACTCCAATGTGTTAACACTAGTAATGCACTTCACTACATAGGCTTTTTGTGTATTCAGCACACCGAGAGAAAGGGAAACCAAGCACAGATAATATTTAGGGTCAGAGCTTCTTTTTTACCTGATTGTTATCCATCACAACATCGTGTCAGGGTTTCCTTCAAGTCCCGTTTTCTCCTTGCTCGGTCCTGCTGCACCCGCGTCCTCCTTGACCTGTCATCAAAAGAGAAGCAAAATATTCAGCACACTGAGAAAGGGAAACCAGAGCAGATAATATGAAGGGTCGGAGCTTCTTTTTTTACCTGAGTGTTCTCCATCACAACATCGCCAGTGTTTCCCTCAAGTCCCGTTATCTTCTCGCTCGGTCCTGCTGCACCAGCGTCGTCCTTGACCTGTCAGCAAAAGGCAACTCAAATATCACAATCTACTTGACAAACCTCAGATTTCAGAAACTTAATGCATTGAGAGGGGCCTTACATCTAGTTTGGTTCCATGAGATCCCTTCAACCTTCTCTTAGACTTCTTCATGATCAAACGAGAATCATCATCGTCTTCAGAAACCAGAAATGTACTTTCGATATCATCCATACTAACTTCCTCGTCATCAGAGAAACTATCCACATGGTCCCAATCATCTCTCTGGCTCTGCCCAGAGCTACTTCCTTGCCCATCAGAGTCTTCCTCTTCCTTATTGAGGGGAGGTGGTTTTTCTGTATTGCGATTTCTCCTCAAGGATTGAATGCGCTTGTCCATCTTCGCCTCAGCTCTTTTGCGACTTGCCATCTCTGCTTCCACTTGCTCAATGGGGGCTTCACATTCCTTTCTAACTCGTTCAAAATCATAGCTATAAAATGAAACAAGAAAACCCAATACTGTTGATTCATTCTCCATGCACCAATGGTTCTGTCTCTTATCCTAATACTCAACTATAACAAACAAGCTACTTTAACTGCGTTTAAACACCACACCAAACAAAGGGAGCAATCCAACCACTAAACAATATAAAGAAGGCATCTTTTCGAGAGTCCATACCAATCATAAGCAGGAGTTGCCACAAAACTACCATCCTCTTGGCGGATTAAGAAAAAGTTACGTTCTGTTGTCTTAGGGTTTACATGACGACCCTTATACTCGACGTTGCTGGTTAGATCCTTTAAAATCCATGGCTCTTTCTTGTTCGATGATTCCTGATGACATAATCAAGGACTTAAAGATCCACTTCTGGCTCTTCACGAAGAAACAAGAGCAACTAAACAAGCACCTGACCGAGGTTGGGAGATTTGTAGAGAGACAATTGATGGCCTTTAAGGTCCGGAAGAGGTTTTCCTCCGAATGTAGCACCAAAGAAGTTCTTATCAGTTTCTGGGCACAAACGAACATCGAATTCCTAAAAATGGCAACATTCAACTATGGATTAGCCCCATTTTCTTCAGCGCGAAAGATCAAACAAGAAACCAAATTTTACCTGAATCCAAAGCGTCGCCATCACTCCGCAGGAAGAACAGATTTCTTTATTGATCGCCATTGATTTGAAGCAGGGACGACACACCGACGCGTGCCTGCAGGTAGTCAAGCCCACATCAGAATCCGAGCCACATTTGCTACAAATCGCCATTGTTGGATCTCTCGAGGAAGAAAAAGGCAAATCGAAAATTTTAGGGCTTGGATCTAAAGATTTTTTGGGCTTTTCCGCAGCTGCGTTTCGCGTAATAAACACGAAGCCTCGAACCGACTTTTTCTTTCGGCCCTGAGAATTAGGCCGTTTCAGATTTTATGGGCTTTTTTAGAATTTTGTTTCGGTTAGTGCCCGAGCCCAATTGTTTTTCTTCGGCCCTCCAATAAAACAAACATTGCTTTTGTTTTTTTTTTTGGCCTTTTTGGTAAACCCATTTGCTCAAGAACATAAACCCATTGCTTATGAACATACACATTACTTCCGCTTTGGATTATGTGGTGAACTCTGGAAAAGTCGAAACGAAATTGTTTTCAATCGGAATATTATTTCTGGAGAAGATACTTATCGGCGAGCAATCGACGATGTGTCCGAATGGATCTCCATTCTTACTGAAAATGATGGAAACATTGATACACAAGCTATGCCAAAGAATAAACAAGTTGAGTGAAAACCACCAATACGTGATTGAGTCAAATGTAACTACGACGCATCATATCGGGAAGGTAACCAATATTCATGTTTGGGTTGGATAATTAGGAACTGCAATGGTACGTTTCTTGAAGCTGGCAAGGGCAAATTTTAGGGTCGTGAAACAGGAATGTACAATCTTTTGTGGGCTATACAATGTGCTTGGTATTTGGGTTATCGTAAGATTGAATTTGAAGGAGATAGTCTCAATCTCAACCGAATCCTTAATAACGATGTCATCAATTTGAAACTTCAACCTTATGTTACAACGATCAACGCTTGGAAACCGAGTTTTTACTACATCAACTTCAACCACACGAAACGTACAACAAACGAATGTGCTGATAGTTTATCAAATCACTCTATACTTTCTCCATATTCATGGTGTATGTTTAATGTTTGTCCATCTTTTCTACAAACTCTTGTAAACAACAATATTCATTTAATGATATAAATGATTTTATTTAATGATATAAATGATTTTGGCTGGCAAAAAAAAAAAAAAAACCATACACATTTTATAACTTACATCTATGTAATGTAATGCAAATTATAAGATGTGATTTTTAGAAGAGAGTTGACAAAATTGTCCTTTTCAAGATGATTAAAAACAAACAAAAAAGCCAATGTTATTCAAGAAAATTTATTTTGATAAAAAATTTTTTATTTTTATTTTGTTTTAAATAAAAGTTCGAAAAAACCGTAATAGACTATTTGAGATGAGCCGGACTTTGGAAAATAAACCTGAATATTTTTTGGACCAGACCGCGGCAAACATAAATATATGCGAGTTTTGCGGGTTTTAGGACGAGTCGGACTAGTCCAATTGAGATGCCTAGGCCTAGACGAAGAAGAAAGGGACCACACTACTCTTATTTTAACTCATTAGTTAGTTTGCTTAAGAAACCATACACATTTTATAACTTACATCTTAATTGAGAAATCCCAATTGAGAAATCCTAATTGAGAAACTTCAAGGCCTCTTCCTCTGTGAACTTCCTTTTTAACCGAGGATCGATCGAGCGATCTAGAGTGTCTGATTTATAGTGTTCCCATACCTATCCCAACAAAATCCAAGGAAATATGATTATGAGTATGTTTTATATATTCTTCCGACTTAAACATGGAAACAAAGCTTACTTGTAGAGTATAAAACCGAGCTAGTTCCTTGCGTGAACGCATTGTTTTTCTTCCCAGTTGCTATCTCGATGATAAGAACTTCGAATGCGTAAAACATCAGCTTTCTCTGTTAATTGTCCTTTGATAAGATATTTCGGAGCCAAATAACCGCTACAGTTCTCAAAAAATACACCACCAAATTCCAAAACTTTATAAAATGAAATGGTTGGTGTTAAAGAAAAACCAATCTGGGAGGTACACACTCACAGTGTTCCAGCAATTCCAGTATTGGTTTGCGTTTTGTCTGAGCCCATGGAACGTGCAAGTCCAAAATCCGCTATTTTGGGACTTAGGTTTTGATCAAGGAGAATATTGCTGGTTTTGATGTCTCTATGGATGATTTTTACATCAAATCCTCTGTGAAGATATTCTAGACCTTCAATAAAACAAACATTGGTTTTTTTTTTTTTTGGTAAACCCATTGCTTAAGAACATAAAAATATGGGTGAATTAGGAAAGTAGACACCTTTTGAAAAGTAATTTGCCAAATAGACAGTTTACTATTTATAATTGTCAAAATATGCACATTTTCACTATTACAATATTTATAATTAGTAAAATAGTCTGTTCTCACTATTCATGATGTACATGTATATGGTGTACACACTGTTCATGGTGGATGATATGGTGTACACACTGTTCACAGTGGATGCTATTCACGATGGATACTATTCATGGCGTACACTGTTCACAACGTATACAGGTGTACACACTGTTCATGATGGATACTATTCACGATAGATACTATTCATGGTGTACA